CTTCCATTTTTAATTAAAAAGTCTACTTGAGCTAAAATCACGAACTGTGATCGCGAAAACCATGGTTTACACCTGAAGTACTTTTAAACTCGTAGGAACTTCTGATTTCTGGTTATTTGAAATGCTGTGACGAATTAAGTTCCTAGCAATGGGTATTTATTTGTGATTTAGTAATAAACGCAGCATATTCATGCTCTGTCACTATCCCAAATTTGGGAGCATCTCATGTACTATTATAATAGAAATGAAGGAATAAAATATATGTAGTATATGGGAAATACATTGAAATACTGAAGTTAACGTGATTATTTGCTCATTTGAGGTATTTTCAATCTTTACTGAAGCCTCCGAAATATTAAATATATATTAAACCCACTTGATGAGTTGTTCCTTTCTGAAACGTTCTAGTCTGTGGATCTAGTATAATGATTTTCCCCATTATTTTCCTTCTCATCCACCTTATTTCTCTCTCAAAAAAAGATTCGACAGCAATAAAATTTATCCGTCACTTGTGTATTTTCCTGCCCTGTTCATTGAAATGTTAGATCTAATTAAAAAATAGTGGAGGTTAGGTTCGCATTAATTTCATAACGTCCTGTGCATAGTGAATGCATTTCTATGTATTTTTTACTACACAAAGGCTTCAAGTCTGGAGTCATTTTTCTTAGGATCAGGTGGCAATCCCAGGAATTTTACTACTTGCTGCTATCTGAAGTCTTGCTAAGAGTTTTGCTTCAAGCGAGAGATTGTAAATACACAGTTTTGTAACGAAGACCTAACTAGAACAGCGTGTGAAGTGATCCTATCACCATTGATCTGAATGTAGATTGTGATTATCGCGAAAAGCATACTAAGGCTCATTTGTGATTAACCTATAGTGCAATGGTATTAAAGGTAAGAAATTATTGTATTTCCTAGGTTTCCAAACTATAGGCATAGAGGAATATTGGAATTTTCACGATGCTCAGTAATCTGTTGATGCATAGTAGGAATAATAAAGGAACTAAGAGTTTCCACTGCGATTCTTCACCTCATGCCAGCCTTTTGGAAAAGTATGGGAAAGTGATCCTTAGCTCTTTTCCTTCTACCAATAAATAACCCTCAAGTCCCTGCAGGAAAATCGTCATTAACTTCCAAGCTTTTAAGTTTTATGAACAACCTCATTGAGGTACTGTATCAAATTCCTGGCTAAAGTCTCTGTAAATGATTTCCACAAACTTTCTGTTTTCCACAGACTTCACAACGTTTTGTTATTACACTACTTCACAACTACACCCACACAATAGGGTAGGATAAAACCACTGTATTTAAGTCCAATATAATTGGGTGGAGAGTGAGTCTGATTACTAAATCTTTGTTCGTCGAATCAACTCCCAACAAATGTATAGGGATGACGCAAAAAATATACCGGAGATTTCGAAACTTTGACTACCTATAAAAACAAACAATGTGAAGTGACAGGACTACAAAAATCAGATGTCGAAAGCAGTGTGGTTATATTGATATAATTATGAGCAATAATTTATGCTCGAAACATCATCAAGTAAATAATACCATATCGCTGTGTGTTACAAATCAAATGAACAAATCTAATATAGAATTACAACTACAAGGTTTCTGGGTTTAGATGAACTTATTCGGAAACTGATTTTTGAGTTGGAGAAAGCTTGTTGCTTCATTGATAAGACATAGGAGCTCTGTTGGTCATTATTTCTAGGGTTTTAACTATGGTACTAGTAAAACTTGTCATTCTGCAGTTTGGTGAAGAATGTGTGGAGAGAGTCCTCATGAATATTCGTTTCCACGGTATCCTTTCAGGGATGGTGTGTTACGCTTTCGCTAAAGCAGTCTTAATAGGATAGTCAATAGATCATTTATGAAGGTTGTAGGTTCTTTGAGAAGACTGAAGTGTAACTTATCTGGTCTTGCTGACTGCATCGTATCCACGGCACCTAGAGTGTCGCATACATCAGTGTAATAGACTACCATAGGATGTAATCTTTATATCGATGTGTCTACTGTCAAATCTGTGTCAAGTAGTTTTCCTAGGGTACAGATCTCGAAAAATTATTCTGCTATACTCTGTGATTTGTTTTCCTCAATCAGTTCTACTTATTGTAACTGAACTCGGTACATATTTGTGCATACCTTTTGTGTGGGCCTGTAATAGTTACCTGGTTTCACAGCCCAAAGTAGTTGGATCGGGGTTTAAAAGTGGGGTTGATATCTTGCCTTCGTTAAATTCAGTTAGTTGAGTTTTCTCCTCACCAATCAAGTCTGGGATGCCAAAAAATGCTTGACACTTAATGGTCGTATGAGAGAATCTTGTAGATCGTTTTTCAGCAACTGGAGTTACGAAAGTTGGCAAGTGTTTTCGAAACTTGTTGATAATGGTGATTCATTTAGTTCAGGCTTCTTCAAGACTAACGATGAAGGTTCAAACTGAATCTGCTATCGTAGTCAGTTATGATTATCTTGCTTTATTCAGGAAGGACTGTTTACCTATATCGAAACACCTCACAGAATAGAAAGGTGAGACGCGATCGTTCAATTGTTTTGAAAAACACCATGCAACTGCGGCTGAAGCTTGTGAGTTTTCGGTCTAGTCCATAGAAAGACTAGAGAGTTAATAGCTTCCAGGTTTTTCCTTGATGCACTGGGTCTAGCTGGTATGTTGACTTGCAACAATCCGGTAGCGCTAAACCTGAAAACGGTACAAGCGTTTTCCCGTTTTTCGAGAGATTTAAATTGCTAAATAGAAATAATATCTCCCATATGTGGGGAAAACTAAAAAGAAGCTGTGACTATGCACTGATATTCATAGTGACCGACCGCCTCAATATACTGTATGAGCTAAATGGAAAGTTTTTAATACCTTGTAGTCGCACAAGTTAGTTGATGCTAACTGTGTGATATATATTTGGATGTACTTCTCCAGAAATTAAAGTGATCTAGGCGCAGTTATTTAGCCATGCATTCAGAAATGGTATATTAGTACCAGAACATCGGACTGTTCTCTTTCTAATAATCAGCGAAGCATCAATTCACAATTTCATGCACAATAACGTCCATGGTTTTTAGAGATAAGATACTATTTGCATTGAGAAAACAATCCACCACTAATGAGCAAACCTTCATTATAAAATCTTGTAACCTTCTGTAGTTAGACTTCATCATTACTAATTTAGGATAAGAACCATGTTTTTGAGATGGTATTTTGCGCACTAGGACGAAACGGCTGTCCAGTGCTCCCAAGTTTCCAATATTTCTCCAACTGACGTCAGTCGATGATGAATACCAGCCTGAAATGAATAAATAAATCCTTACAACCCTCCGAATTGAATCTTATCATTTGCATTTACTGCATAACTCATTTTGGCTTGGTTATCCATGGAGCTTCAAGCATCTGTCTACAAGACCTTAGTTTAACTTCGCTGTTTTCCTATTGTAACCATGGCAGCTTTTACTGACTTTAGGATCAGATTTTAACTTGATAGAACTGAACACGTTGAGCATCCGGTAAACAAATCCTGAAGGCAATATTTTAAAACAGTTAGTTCTGTCTATAAATTTCGATAAAACTGAGAAGAGACGTAAATTGTCTGAACAGTGTAATGCTTTTGCGCAACACATTTCAAACAATTTGATCACAGACGCACTTGTCTTAGCTATTTATAGGAATTATTATAAAGAGATGAAGGTGAGAATATGAAAAGGTTGAATTAAAAGCAAAAATAAGGAAAATCACTTTGGCGAAAATAAGAGGATACCAAACTTAGTTTTAGAGTTAAATTCACCAACAGAGATTCAATGTGGTAACGAATTTTTTTGAATACACTAACAGCTAAAACGGCAAATTTGAGGATCTATCTTATACACGTCTTGTACGTAGGTCTAAGGGACGTGGAAAGGTCAATCCTGTTACGCGTCCCAACTATACGTTCCGCAATCGAAGAAACTGAACGTCTGCTGCCAACGCTTATGAGTCCAGGTGGATCATTTTCCTTTCACTGAAATATATTTGTGAAATCCCAGCGCTGCAGAGAAATTAATTTCTGACGTCTCAGCCTTGTGGAAGGCGGTTTCTCAGTGAATGAAACTTTTACAATTTACTGCATAGATAAATAGTAATTAGGGACGAGTCAGATCAGGTTGTTCAAACCTGATAACAATTTGGGAATAAGGGCCTAACGTTATCCGTTGTTAGTACTTGAATTCGAGTTGAAGATATAAATGTGTGCGCATGTGTATAAAAGTGTGAGGAAATTAGTATGAATAAAGAATGCAATTTGCTTGTGTTTATGCACTTTAGTTGTGATTAGTGTGCACAAGGTGTTATTTCGGATATACTGTCCAAGTTGGCTGGATAGTTAGGGCTTCCTTTCTACTAAATGCTTTAGGATTCAAGATAATGTAAAACGCTTCTGAATACATATATATAATATTACTAGTAGTCTGTAAGTTCTCTTAAAAACTCAAGATTACATTTTTGCACATTCATTTCGGATAGGTTTTTTTGTTTCGATAGGTTTGAGAGAAGTAGCACAAACATATTTCATCGATGTATGTTCACTGTCTTATAGAGAGCACTTGTTCCAGATATCATTAAACCTGCTGTTGATCACATAACTTTGTTTCATTAGTTCTAGTTGAATAACCTTAGTTTTACTTATTCGCTTGCTTTTTTCAGAGAAAAACTCCTTTGAAGACATCCAAGAAACTTCGAAGAAGGAAAAAATCGAACTTCGTAACGTTCAAGTTTTTCACACTTCACAATGATACTGTAGACACACTTCATAAACGCTTTCAGAATACTGTGACTGAATAATATAATCGACTATTAGGAAACGAAAGAAACTGTAAAACGTTTTTATTTTTCTGTATAGATGACTTTCAACCAACAAAGGTTTTCAGGTATCTTGTAGTGTGAAACGTAAGGAAATAATTCTGAAGTTCCATCAGCCTCTCTTGCTTGTGTCGAGTATCTGAATACGACCGTAATGCCAGATTACTATGACGGAAAAGCTTCAAAACAGGAGGAAACTAACAATTCAACTGGGAATGGATCTAGAGTTTCGAAGTTTGATTCCAACAATTTTGGTTTAGATGTTGCTTCGCTGAAGATTATTGAACTATCCAAGAAGATAAGAGAATTGAATGCTGCACTTGTCAGCGAACGAAACAAATGTAATAATCTACACCAAGTAATCAGGAAGCTAGAATCAAATTCCACCAATTCATTGAACAAGGAACTTGTCTGTCATTTATGTAAACGAAATAAAATCGGATCTCTCGATGAAAAAATTAAAGTATAACTGAATGTGCAGAACATGAAAAGAAGTTGAAGAAAATGGAGTCTGTCATACTAGAACTTCGACAAAAAGTTCAAATCTTAAATCATGATTTGTTATTGGCTAAAAAAGTAGTTGAAGCTGAAACAGGAGAAACTGTACCAAATGTAAACACTTGCTGGCCAGCATACGATTAAAAACAGCAGCTCATGACAGTACATGTGCATCATTGTCAAACTGGCGTGGTCGGCAGCAACAGATAGCTGCATTAAAAACCGAATTGAGAAACTGCAGTCTCAACTCAATTCAAGAACAATTTCTCATTCAGAAGACCTAATTTACAAGCCTACTGAAGAGGACGAAACATTTTCCGGTGCAACTTCATTTGGCGTTAGCTACCTACAGGATGATAACGATTTATGTACACGTAAACTGTATGATACACCATCTACGCTGAATCGCCTTACAGAACGGGATTTGACTAAATCTTCTGAAAAACAGTTACAAAATGATAAAAGACGTCTAGAGGATGATCTTAACTCGACAAAAAGCAAACTTCAGAAAACTAAGCAACGTGTCAACAGTCTCCTGCAGGAGAGAAAGGAGCTGAAACAACAGATTATTTTCCTTGTACAAAAAGGAAAACATGACGATGAACTGGTAGAATCACTTGTTCAGCGTACTGGAGACCTACAAAGAGAGTTAACTAATATGAGTCATCTGAATACAGAGAAAGAACAAGACATAGAAATGCTTAAACAAAAATTGTCGAGTCTAGAACAAAGAAAAGATATGGAGGTTGGAAAACTAAACGTAAGTGTCTTTTAATCTATTTACGATGATAACAGTGTATCACTGATTTCAATCAAATAAATCAGAAGGCAGGATGCACCACACAGTGGTTGGTGAGTCAGACTAAAAATGTCCAAGATTAATGGAGTAACTCCTAAAAGCCATCCTAACAACGACTAAAATAACCGAATACATTTCTCTATTTAGACTGGAAAGGCAGACTTTCATAACATGAAGAAGTCTAATTGGTTATTTCACTTGTTGTTAGGGGAAACTTTATAGTCCCCCAATTAATGGATAGCTGGTCATTTGTCTTCTAAGCAAACCTACTCATAGTTGAGCGTAGAGTGGATAAATAGCTGTTCGGACTGTCACAAGACACTAGATGTTGCCATTAGGCTGTCTAGAAGCTTGCATAGAATTGAAGGTAAAATTGATGAATTTGATTGGCTATTTCTTCTCATCTTTCTGTCGTGGTAAATGGTTATGCTGTATCGCAAATCCCAGTTTACCCTCTTAGTTTAGTCGGAAATTCAAATTTTGTTGGGATAATATTGCTGTTCTGAGTGGATAAATGACTCAGCAGTGACTCTTAGTACAGAGAAGCTAAGTGATTAATGTTATGAAAATAGCATGGTGTTTTGTTTCAAACTAAAAATAATTCTATCGTTAATAATAAAGTAAAATATAGATTATTGATTAAGAGGGCTTTGCTCACTCTTACACTGTTAGCTAAGAAAAGTTAGGTTTTCCTGGGAAAGAGGAGAGATGTACCTCTAATTTGAAGAGTCGCTCAAATCTTGTAAACGTAGTTTTCGCCATTTGCATCATACTTAGTCAGTAGTACTTTTTTTTTACCTGAAATGTAGGAAATAATTGCTGAGAAAAATGAAAATATGGAAAAATTGAACCAACTTCTTACCGAAACCAAACAAAAACAATTAGATGAATTAAACCGCGATATGAATGAAGCTGAGTATGATGGAAAAGTAAAAAATAATTCCTCATATACTGGTAGTGAGTGTGAACTTGTTTCAAGTTTCACCATTGAACGTAATGGATTCTTAACGTTGGTGGCAAATATGGAATCTAGAATTGGAGAACTTCTTTGTCAAATAAATACACTGGAGATGGTGAGTTTGCTAGGTCGATGCATTGTATATAATTCACTTAAATGTATTCACTTCTTGAAATATATATATATATATATATATATATATATATATATATATATATATATATATATATATATATATATATATATATACGCCAAGAACAGAGGAACAATGCTATCGGAGTTGACAAAACTGTGATAGGGGATAAAAAGTACAGGAAGGTTGTTAATTTCAAAAGGCGATAAAGTGTATGCACCTGCGTCACGGTGATCGATTTCAAGTCATAATACTAAAGGATCTCTGACTAAGAGTTTCTATTTTGTTGACGTCTGCAGTATGCAACTCCACATACATCTCAGAACGGCCTGAAACTTCATGTTCTAGTTTGGCTAGACATAGTTTTTCTGACTTTTGCATTACTCTAGAAAACGTAGGTGGTTGCAGTGGATGGTGACTCAAGGTCCGTAATACACGTTTAAGTCACCTTGGTCGTTGAAGGTTCACAAACTCGCTGACTTACTTAACTTACTTTCTAGGTACTCTAAACTCAACTACAATACTCGTTTTCTTGTTACGCTATATGGTAGCATTTATTCCTGAAGAGATATCCATAATCAAATAATTTGTCTACGTATGTTTCCTACTTTTAATGTCTATTTCTCACAGTCATTTAATAGGGGACAAAGCAGATTGTTATGGTGTCTTCTAATCCTTTGATAGATAAAACAGGCGGATATTTTACGGGTGCACGAGTTAAGAAATACAGAACCACAAAGTTAGAAGAGTCGTTCGAAATTGGCAATACTGGTGACAATTGCATTTCAGAATAATGTCGAATCCATAAAGATGCTTCAGACTGAAAATATTGATGTAGCCTTTAAAAGTCGTTTGCAAATGGGAACCTAATAAGTAGACAGTGCTTCATAATTACATCTGTCTAGTCCAGAAGTGTTAACTTTGCTTAATGAAGTATCGATATGTGAGGAATTCGCATGCTATCGATAATCTGAATAGTTGATCATGTAGTAAATACGTAAAGAGATAAGTACAAGGAAACAAAAATTAGCATTGATGTCTTCAACAAAGATGCATTTTCTAAGCAAGTTTAACCAAGAAACTACACAATTGTTTTATCTGAGTTCAGAACTTCACAACAAATTAATACCACTAAGAGAGCTTAATTTCGAACTTCATTCGTCAACGAGTAGGCATTTTAAAGTTCACGGTTGTGCCTGTTTACGATGGATCACTGCTAAAACTTACCAAAGTCATAGATAAAAACGAAACTCGATTCTCTGTCAGTTTTTCTATCGATACTGCGGCCATAAAAGCGTCTTCACAAAAGCGAATGTCCCTCCCAATCTACTACTGTTAGTAGTCACTAGGGTGTATCAAATCTCATACTGTCCAGCTATAAATATCGACTGAATCCTATCAATCAGGTCTTTACTCAAGGCACCAGGCTCGGAGATTTGCCATCGCACTAGACTTTAGTTTGTGTTGCATAGCTCGCTGGCACTTCAGCGGCCAATCGTTGTGTCTTACTCAGTCGTAAAAGCGACCAGTGGCGACCCAAATGGTTCAGTGAAAAGGTATTTGACTTCATCACTGGGAAAGTGGCTTGAGTCTCTGATAGTGAACCAGTCCCTTCAAGGCTATACGTGTGCTTCCCTGTAAAGAATGATAACAAGCACGAAATCTAGTTCGATCAAGGTTTGCTGACAAGTAAATTAAATCACCTAACAAGAAATAATACTGCGGAGATAACTTAGCACTTTATTCTTATTTTCTTCTTTTCAAGCAAAATGCTAAACTGGTACGCAGAAATGAAGAAAAACAAAATTCGAAGACCAAAATTTCCACCGCAATAACATCTAAACACAAAACAACAAATACTAGCGATAACAGAGCAAATGAGAATGATGCAGTGCTGGACTATTTACTGCACAATGATTACTTGAAAGATGCAATCTCCCAGTGTAATTTATCAGCTCACTCAGCCAAAATAATAACCAAACGCATAAAAGAACTACAAAATGCACTTTACAATTCTCAAGATGAGATAACAAGTTTAAAAGGTAGTCTAAAATTGACACTATATTATCGTAAAGAAGATTTAAAATTGGTTATGCAAATGGTTGACGATATACGAAGACAAAATAAAAATGGGGCAATTTGAGTGAGCTGAATCAATGTTCAACGACGCATAGCTGTATATACATACATGCACATCGACTACATTCATGTAGTTTTAATAAGCCATATTATGTTATCAGAATTTTTCTCCTAGAAGTCATTTTACATTTAGTAAAACAAGTGAGTAGTGTCCATTGTAAACGTTTATAGTTTGATGTTCCAACGCAGTACGAATAAAAGTAATAAACTGATCTGAAGCACCCTTTTTCCTATATAGAATTCTCTACCATATTCAGTAGTATTTGTTTTCTTCCCCAAAATAGTCAGCTTATCACTATTTTTAACTACGTGGTCCTCTAGGATAAGGGCAAAGCATTTCGGTTGGATACAAATACATCGAAGTTAGCCTAGATTTTACCACTCGTCATTTAGAACGTTAGTGTAAATATCGACCAATACATATTCCATGTAATTGGAATGAGATTAAACTTTAGTACAAAAGATCATGCACACTTTGTGTATTCTAGCATGCGGTTTATTTGAAAAAAATGTTTTATTGTTAGGAGCCAAGTGGCATGGAGCATTCACTCAACCAGGTTTCAACAAGGTCTGTCTACAGATACGGTGACCAAGTTGTGTGGCTAAACCAGTCTCACCTAGAGTCACTCATAACTATGACAACTCGGTAGCCGAGATATTGATGTCATCACTGGGTGGGGCATATCTGAATTTCCGAGGGGACAATGATCTCCTCATACTTGCAGATATGCCTCACCGATGAGGGCGAAAAAAGATGAGACCTAGGTGAACCAAAGCTTTATATCGACTGATTTTTAATATGTAACACCAAAATACATTGCCGTGCAAAACTTAGTTGGAAGATTAACAAATCAGCAAACGTGTCGAGTAACTAACTAATTCGCTCCCATCCACTCTTATATGACAGCATGTTAAAAATGTCTGCAAATTACCACTTATAAGTGAGATCGATTCCATATGAACAATTATGTTCCCTTAAACGTTTATTTTTTTATCGTTCAGGTAGAAATCTAATACACAATGACGTAGTTTGAAAATTTAGACTGTCATCTTAGCATGCATAGACTTTGTTATAGCAACTGGGAGTGAAATTAAAACGGTTTTAAACTACTTATTGGTTGATGATTGAAGGGGAGACGAAAATCTGGTCCGTAGCATAATTCGAGTCAGTAACTACCAGGTTTCCAGACGGCTGCTCTAGCAACTGAGCCACGAGACCCAACTGCTGAACAGGCCCTTATTTCAACTCAATCACCAAGGATTTTGACTGACTGATATTAGCTACATCTTTATTATTTGTCAGAAAATGCTTTAGGGTGAATGGCTGGAAGACACCTTGCTTGTATATCGAATTTGTGAAATAAGCAGTGAATATGTAGCAATATTTTTATATGAATTCCCTCGGCGATTATTAAAAGCTCTCTCTCCGTGTATAGATGAGATAATCAAAGTTATCTGTTATCATTTAAAATCCTCATCGAATAGGTGAATTCATGCGTCAGAGATTAGAATATGACCACTAACTAATTTGGATTAAATAAGTGACTAATACGCTCAAAACTGCAGAAGCCGAGAAGCGTAAATTGATTGAAACCCTATACCGTCATATGTCTGATCGGTAACTGATTAGTGAGGTTTATGCCAAAATAATTACTTCAGCACCACGTTTCATGCTGATTAAGCTACTAATTAGGTTCGTTTATTATGACGACCAGTGATTGAATGGGAATGTGCCTTGCCAGTCTCTCTTTAGATTAGTGTGTTGTCTTCACAAGGTAGTCGAATTTTAAATGCGGCAAAAACTCCCTATCGTTCCAGCCATGGAATCAATCCTCCGTATCTGGTTGATTCAGTAGTTTTCTGAAAAGATGATGGACCATCAGTTGTATTCACATCAAACTGATGGACTAGCTGTTTTCATTTTCAAAGATTGAAGGTTATCAGTTAGCTGGGACAAATGAGAACAGATGTGAGTATAGAGTAACAAAGTAGACAACCCAAAGTATTTCAGTGTTTAACAGTTGTGCTGCATAGAAAACTGAACTACTGTTCTCACGGTAACGATGGGAAACTTCTGAAGTACTTTTACGACCAGATAGTATCTGACAATATTGCATCATTCCACTTATTACCAATACACATAGTGCTTGTCATTCATACCAGCACTGGCAGTTAGTCGACTTTGGTTACATTCAGACAGTTAAATATCATTTTGTAGTTTCAAGGAGGAGCACTTAATTAAATCTGAGCAATAAAACTCGCTGATATATTCATGGAAAACCTGTCCAATTAGTAAAGTTGTTTCAGTGACATTCGTCAGTGTAGTGAGTGATTTTCAAATTAAGATAAAATAGGAGTGTTCCACTGATCAAGTATTCGTTCAGTAGTACTGCGGTAACAGAATAGTAGTTATTGTCAAAAAGGAATTTGGAATTTCTGTGCAACAATCCAAGTTACTACTTATCGAATCACTACATCATTGCAAAAGTCAACGAGAGAGATGACTCGAGAATGCAAATAAGACAACCAAAAGTCACAGGAAGAAAAATAAAGGGGCATATGGGTCAAAGCAAACAAAAGTGATATAAGGAGGAAGATGAAGGCAAAACATAGTTACATCTATGCTGTGATCGATTCTTAAGCAAACAACATGCAGTTCATAACCATCAAATTCACTGGTGTCCCAAATATCAGCTTGGATACCTACATGGCTCAGACCAACATTCAGAGGCCATGTAGTTTGTTTCAGCATCGTCGTCAGGTAATCCTTAGTTCCCCAACCGAAAGCTATTTCATCTGAAATAACTTTAGAATAAATGGTAACTCGACATCACAAATTGTCATAACAATTCCGCCACTTATATTATTGCAGTGACTAATTGATATAACCTGAATCATATATATATATATATATATATATATATATATATATATATATATATATATATATATACTTGGACAATAACTCTCAACCTCCTCCCTTTGCTGGTTGCTCACTTTTTCGATAAATGGAAGAGGTGGTACTATAACAGGTGTATCGCAAAGTCAAAACATATACAAAATACAAGAGTTTAAACATTTACAATGCCCTTGGGTATTTCCAGACCTTTCTAGGTTAGAACATTGCATTGATTTTTGTCTTTCTACACGTTGACTCATGTACTTTCTCTCGGAACATCGGTGCAACACGATTGGTTGTAAAATACTTCAGGGATTTGGGGCTTTTTATGGAGATTATAACAATCTTATTCTGCACTATAGCACAAGCGAATAACAGTCGGGGATTAAATGTGACCGATTTATAGTCGGAAGAAAACAACCATAGCCAAATGCAAAGGAAAATCTTTCATTCCAATCTCCCTCATAATGGACTGGTATAGGAATACGAATTCTTCTAAAGTGTCTGTATTGATTAATCTACTGAATGACTTTTTAGATGAATCAATGAGTGCAGGTATGTGTGACCAAAGTAGAGACTGCAAAAATGCACGTTCGTGCAATAGGCAATGAGCCACACGTACTGTGTGAGGGCGAACTATGCTACCACAAACTTCGGTAGATGGGATGGGGTTCGAACCATGACCCGATTGCCAAAAATCATCCTCCAAAACCAATGAGGATTGTCAGTTACGCATCACCAATTCTCATGACAAATAGGCGAAACTCTTGGCAAATGTAACCTAGCTAGCAACAGGATGTCGTAGTTCAGTCAACACTACTGAGCCGATGGACTAGAAGCTTTTGGTCCAAAACCTCTCACTTCACAAATTTCTTCTTGAACCCTGGTAGACATCTCATAACCTAAGATCAGAATCCCCAAGTCAGGTTAGTTTAGATAATCATATCAACAACGTGGAAAACAATGGGATGAAAAACTTATTTTGTTCAGATTTTGTAAATCAGCACAGGTTTAATTATAATAACAATAATTTTGACCCAGCAAAAGGCATCACGTTTGTAAATGTATGACGAAGTTATTTGCAGAAAAGACGCAGTCTACTGACAATGAAATGAGTAGTCCGAAAAGAATGCACTAATATGAACGGAGAAAGCATGAGGAAGTAGGTATTGTGAACACCTAGACAGTTGGTACATTAAAATTATTATTTACACGTGAGGTCACTGGTTTGAATCTTGATGCAACCCAGATTTTCATTTCACCTTCAATCATCACCCAATATAAATTCATATAAAAAGCGTAAATCCAAATTTTTGAGAGAGAGCATGAACGTTTTTGAAGTGAAACTCATCGGTGAGTGTGAACAAGGAGGTAGTCGTGTTATCATCTATGATCAGTTTCTTAAACAGAGGAACACTCGCTTTCCAACTAGTTTCAGCACTTCAGCTATCCATTGAGCAAGATTATGAGGATTTATATCTAAGTAACGCTCTACACTCACATTTATACAATTAATTGAACATATCTGGCCGAAATGCACTCAGCAATTAAATACACATCCATTTAATATTATTATTAAATTTATACAATGTGTACATCCTCAATATATTCGCACAAGAATTAGGAAACTTCAGCGTTTGCCTTTTCATACAGATTGCCGTCGTCATTCTCAGGGTTTATACACCTCTTATTACTACACAAGACGCAATAGCCATCAAAACTCCTATGGATGCAATATATGATTAACATCGTATTAACGAGCCTTTATGATGATACTCTTGTTCCTATTCACCAGTAAATACACAAACATAAAGTCTCCTCATATATTTTGCTGATCACAATGGTATTCATCGCATTCAGTGTATAAAACTGCAAACTAAATTTCCAGATACAAACAAACGTGTTACATGAAAACAGTTGATTTATTTGAAAGCAAAGGTTTCACATACACATACATTTAGTTATAAATTTGTTATGTTCATAAAATAAAGCATCATTACACCACCCTATTGAAGGCTCTTTACTCGAACACTTTTAGACGTGATAGGGCCTATGGCCAGTTGTCCAGGGAGCTACGCTCATCGAGTGATGTCCGTCAAAGGTGCCCACTCTCTCCATTCTTATTCAATTTTATCATAGATATTCTCATGGAGGTCTCCTTCTCGTCACCTGATTACACAAAGGTTGACCTAATCACAGGAGAATTTTCGTTAGACCTAGAATATGCAGATGACATTGTCCTGTTAGGTGAAGACGCTGACAACATGCAGAGTCTTCTGAACACTTGGAGTGGCAATTTGAGAATGCTTGGGATGCATTTCTCACCACCCAAATGCAAACTGTTGCTCCAGGATGGGTCTTCAACGGTGCCACGGATAACAATAGAGTGTAATGGTTGAGTGTGTCAACCACTTCACTTACTTGGGAAGTAGGATCAGCCCTGATGGCTCAGTGACCGGTGAAATCTCTGCACATATACAAAAGGCTCAGTTGGCTATCACCAACTTACGCCATCTGTGACGCCGCCGTGATATCCGATTGTCTATTAAGGGTCACATGTACTGCACAGCAATCCGGTCTGTTCTACTGTATGGCTGTGAAACATGGCCATTGAAGGTGGAAGACATGAGAAAGCTTCAGGTGTTTGACCACCGTTGCCTTCGCAGTATAGGCCGTGTTCCATAGTGTCACCACGTGAGTAATGCAGAAGTCAGGAGTAGAATTTTAGGGAGAAGAGGCAAATCAGTTGACGAAGTTATGAACCTTCATCGACTGAGATGGTTGGGACACGTGTTACGTATGTCTAGTAGCCGATTGCCTCGTCACACAATGTTGGCCGAAAGAGGCCCGAGGTGGCCAGACTAAAACATGGCACCAATGTATGAAGTCTCTGACTGTTGGTTTCAGCCATGTGGGGCGGTGTAAACTAGCCGGTTGGGGTCCACGGGACAAGAGGAACCAGTGGTTGGAGACTTTAGGCGACAAGGGTCAGAACCGATGTCAGTGGCGCAGATGTATACACACATTATCCTCATCTTAACGACGCTATACAGAATCGTACCATTTTGTCATTCTTTCTTTCTTTCTTCTCGTACTTTATGTTTCTTTTGGCTGAATTTTATATTTATCTTGCACTTTACTGCCTTTTTACTTGATGTACCGATATGAGGTGTGGTGACTCGGACCGTTACGCAGTAATGCCTGGTCCTAGGTTGGTCTGACTGGCTCGAAGTTAGCAATAAAATGATATTCGGTGCTTATATTAGCAAAAATCGTACTAACTGTGATTAAATACAATAATAAAAACATACTATTAAGAAGCACATGAAGGAAAAGCAAAAGTAAGTAGTATCACCAACAAAAAACTCGTTCACAAAGATGCAAAACAGGTTACAGGTTAAGAAGTTATTCTTTGCTATGCAGATCTGATTCAGAATTATCATTGTTTGGTGTGTCATAGTAGGCATCTAAATAGCCATGTGCTAAATCTGCAACAAGTGACCGGTCCGATATGAGTTGTGACATTCCATAAAGAGACGCCTGAGGATAAAAATTTAGAAAAAGAAAGGGAAACATGAAAGACACTGCACAATTGGCACAGACAATCTATTGCTTCAGCATATCTATGGTGAGGTAAAAAAAGCAACCAAGCAGCATGGATAACAAGAAGTACGCTGCAGAAAAGAGGTCGAATTTTCGCAAGAAGATAATAACTGAATGGATTCTGTTCCGTCATAATAAATTTCCACCCATAAAACTAACAATTTTGGCTACCTCACGGGCTCCATAAAATACGAGATTTGTAGTTATTTGGTTAGAATGACTTGGACTAATCTTCGAAGGTACCGCAGAATATGTGTCTTATTGTGATTCAGACCACGTTTAGGGCTTTTTTCCATGCATTTTTTTATTCCGTCTGGTTTGATATACATAACATAATTTAGCCAAAATTGAAAGTCTGAAACTGTTCAGACACTGGACACTGGAAACCATTCGAAACTCTCATCAAAATCTTGGTTAGAGATTATGAAGATGCTTACTTCTTTGTGACCTTCGTGAGAAAATGCAAAATTAGTTGACCAAATAGACCTAGCAATTGTGATTGGTTGAATAGATTCTTCGACAAACAGTTTCTGTGATTGTGTTGCACTATCACACGTCTTATATCTTCCGTTTATTTGGTCAACGGTATAGTTTCCATTGAAATAACCGTATATTAATGACTCAACTGTATGTGGAAGCAGAGAATGTGTATGAAGACATTACGTTACATATGAATTAAAGACTTGATAGAAAAAGTCAGTCGAAGAAATTTCTGTATTTTACTTTGAGGTTTATGAGGATTTTATTTTTAAGATCGTACTCAGCACGGACTGATATCTACATAAACCTCAAACTACATTACCATATAGTGTTCAAGAGTGATATGCTTTGAGAGGGATATCTGATGAGAAGCCATGACCAGTAGGAACAACCAATCGAAAGTGAAGTGGATGTCAACTGAAAATCTTGGCGGATAGTCGCGCCATATTGCAAATTAACAGAAGAAAACTGCAGACTAGTGACTGAATGGTTAACGAAACAGTTCAGTGTTCTCAAGTTTTCAATGGTTCCCCAAATGATATTAAAAATAATCGCTTTATTCCAAACAATATGTTTGATACAGCATGGAATTTTCAGCATGTACTATTTAAAAGAGTTTAGCCCCAAGACAATATTTTGAAACGAAATTATCGTTGCATCCGAATGACGTTATATTAACAGTATTAAAGGCAATAATGTGAAACATCCAGCTGATGTTCGATTAGCATCCGGTTTATGGTGAAGAGTGAATAGGAATTCTAGTACAAGTTTAGTGGTGGTGGAATATTTAGCCAGTACAAAAATGTTCTTTTCGAGCTAAGTACCCGGGGCATGAAAATATGATATCTTTGTGCTTTCAAAAGTCCCTTTCTTTCTAACGTGACGTTATCCTTTCGTTTTGTTGTTAACTCAAAAAATGGCTGGTTGAAAACACTTCAAAAATGCACTTGAGAAGGACATTTTGAAGATTAAAACAAACAGAAAAGGAAGGATTTGATGCTCTAGGCTCGGCAGGAAATCTTTTGGCAGCCCAAGGTTCAAGCAGGCCGCCAATTATAAGTAACGAAACATAGGAATGAAGTAATAATTTTTGCCATGTAATAGGTTTTCAGTCAAACTATCGTAGCTCCCGAATATCCCCGTAAGTTTATCAGAGTCTACTACATACTCTTGGAGGACACACCATTTGTTATATTCCATTTACAGGCCAACTGATAGTTAATCAGAACACAAGTCACACTTCTATCGTCCTAAACCACATCGACTTTACTGTGTAACTATCGATTGGTGACATTTGATTATTCCACCAATGAAAGATAATGGTCAATCTTATGTTAGTTTGCCGCATTACAGTGAAACAGCATCATTTATTACAACAAGTTTCTAGACCAATTTACTTATCTTAATCATGTCAAGGTAATCATCCCAAAACTTTCTACTTATAGACTTCAGAAGCAAAGTTTGACCTGATACAGTTGAGCACTGGATAAATGGACTCAAAATGAAACATTTATGACTTAGTTCTTATAGTTGTGATCATTTCGTTACTTTTATCTCAACCAAAATAAGATCTCCCTATGTATGAAACGAATGGAGGTTCATTTTTATTACAGGTGTTTGACGGTGGTTCAACAAATTAAATCAATCCGCCTTTCCAAGCAGTTAAGTGAGTCCTAAGGATTGTTACTTTGTTTCATCCTACTGTGTAATTGTGTTGTCATATACGGTTGAACTTTTCTTAGCAGGTTATTAAGGTCTATCAATTTTCATTAACTTATTTTTTTGTGCTCAGTTGACCTAATTAACCTTTGTCGACTACTCTGATCCCACAATAATTACCCGTCATTTGGTGGATTGGGTTGTTTTGCCTAATAAACTCCACAGAATCCTTTAATTGACGAAGTTGATCTCTGAGTGAATTTGTAGGTTTAAATGTCGCTCTGATTTAATTATTGTCAATGTAGCATTGTTTGCTTGAGGTGGAATCACCCTGTGAACACTGGAGGAAAACCAACCTCACACTGCAGTCTTGAAAGCTGACCGAACTCTACTGATCATTTTAGAATGTGGCTACTAAATTAGAAGGCTCACCATCACGGTGCACATTGATAGATGCCAGCTTGTTAGAGGTAATCGGCAGGAAGCCCAGGACCATAGTTTCGTACATGTTGGCACTCGTTAGCGAGGAGAAGCTACGACCTCGGGGGACTGATTTCCCACTGTAGGATTCGAACCAGCATCCCCCAGTGTTGCAGTCAGCGACAATGCCATTGAGTTATTCGGATCGCACTCAAAATTGGACAACATGAAAATGGTGGCCCTCCAGTGATTAAGCAATGTACGTAGTACATCCCTACAGGAGGTTAGTCGTACCCTGCCAAAAAAGTCTTTTGAAAAGTGGTATAATCAAAGGCAATTACCGTGTAGTGTAGATTTGTACTCTATAAAGACGGCATGAGAGCGAAGGCGTATTGCTGGCTGTACGTCGGTGTGACAACAGTAATATGTTTTCTTTGGATGGCCAGCAGTGCCATGATGATACCGTAAATATAGCATGTTCCCCCTTGACTCATTGTCTTCCGGTGCCGACGGTATGAGTTTTTTTTTATCCGGTGTTAGAACATCGAAAACTAACAATCCTCAATAGGCTATGTGTGGCAGGTTTCAAGCAAGTGTCCCGTGGGATTTGTTCATTTTCTTTTTCAGGTACCTTAAGAAGAAATAGTCTTCCACACTTCCAGTAGCCTTCGAGACCCAGTCAAACACAATTTATCCTTCTCAACGTTTTTTTCTCCTTAACCTTCACCCCGGGATGTCAATATTAAACTAAGGCTCTTACAACTTCCTCAAAGACTCACTCTGCGGCCGTTAACAACGATCAACGCCGTAAAAACCTCATTCCTAGTCCCCTAAGATCCGATGTTGATTTGATATTGAAGCTTTTAACGTCCGGCCTCTATCAGCACTCAAATCCCCTCAGATCACTATCCACCTTCTATGTTCCTAACTTCTAATCTTCATTCACATCTCTTAGTCAATAATCCTAAATAATCTTTAATTTACTACAGTTCTGCAGCACTCGATAACGATCTGAGTCCACGAAACAGCGTCACGGTTTTTTGAAACCGCGCTCCAAGCGACACATTGGAGCTGTAAATGCCCGCATTTTCCATCAAATCGGCCAGAAGGCTTCATTAGCAGAAAATTCAATACTCGACTAGATCTCAGTTGACAGTTGCCTATGCTCTCTTGGATCGAACGGCACAGTGAAGACAAAAAGGAACAATGAAACTCGTCGTTGTCTCGTTGTAATCTCTGCTTAGGCAGCCACTGACTGTAGTTTAGATGAAGTGAAGGATGAGTTCTACCGAAAACTGTTTAGCCTCCCACTGAAAACTAGACGCATAGATACAGTGGTAGTTGCAGGTAGTTTCAACGCATAAATGGGGAAGGCTTAGTCAGAGAGAAACCTCGCCTGGTTAACTGGTTCACTAGTTATTAGCCGGTCCTAAGCCCGGGTAAAGAGGGAAGGTTGGACATAGGGCTAGCAACCCTACCCCGTAAAACAAATCTAACCGCTGAAGAAACTTTAAAGCACAAACAAAATACAAAAAATAATAACAAAATTATTCGTCGCTGGAATCGGAGAGACGAAATGACGCCAGTTGGTGAAAGCCTTCGGGAAGCCAATTGGCCGGGCCGATGTGTCTTCTCTCCCTCGATGAAAGCGAAAGTAAACGTGGGGACATGGAATGTCTGCACCATGTTTGAACCCAGCAAGGCAGCCCAGATTGCAAAATAGATGAGGAGGTATCACAATGAAGTCCTTGGAATTTGCGAAAGCAGATGGAATGGGAGTGGACTCTCCAAACTGTCAACTGGAGAATCAATAATCTACTCACATATTGTCACCCAGACGACAACCACGAGCACACTGAGCTATGGAGCGGCTATCATGATGTCTCCAACAGCATCGAAGGCTCTCATGCAGTGGGAACCAATCTCCTCCAGAATCATGACAGCAAGATTCAACTCAAAAGGAAGGTTACAATCATACAATGCTACACTATGCACCTACAAATAATGCAGAGCAAGAGAAAAAGGAGGATTTCTACAGACAACTTCAATCAACACTGGACAAGACCCCACCTCAGTTGGCGATATCAAAATTCTAATGGGCGACATGAATGCCAAACTGGGAGGGGACAACACAGGAAGAGAACTAACCATGGGTCGAGAAGCGCTCGTGAGGTGATGAACGAGAATGGAGAATTGTTTGCAGAATTCTGTGCATTCAACGATTTGGTGATTAGAGGTAAGGCACTGTGTTCAAGCACAAGGATATCCACAAAGCGAGCAACATCGATTTTACCAGACACCAGGACACACTAAATATCAAATCAACTATATCTCAATCTCAAGAAAATGGAGACTGTCTACTTGACACATGGTCAAGAAGAGGAGCAGATGTAGGTTCACACCACTATCTGGCGCAAGGAACCTTCCAAATGAAGTTAAAAGCCTTCAAGGAAGCTGGTGATAGACCACAGTTCAAGTACAACACTCGGAACAGAAACTGAAGGATGAAACTACAAAGGAAATCTTCACGGCAGTCAGCCATCAAGACAAAATGGGAGATATCGAGGAACATCCGTGAAGAAACCTGTGTGGATGAACACTGGAAGTCTTTGAAAAAGATGTGGAAAGAAACCTGCATAACCGTATTAGGAAGGAAGAAGAAAGAAGATAAGGAATGGATCTCGACGGATACCTGGAAGCTGATAGAGGAGTGAGAGGAGGATGATGAAGCAGAAGATAAAACAGTGCATGGATGCTCAACGACAAGAGGAACTGAGCACAATGTTTAAAACACTGGACAAAGAAGTGAAGAAGAGTGCACGCAAAGACAAAAGACACTTCTACGAAACACTGGCAAGTGAAGCAGAACAGGCTGTAGGTAAGAGAGACCTGACGACATTGTATCAAATAACCAGGTTGCTATCAGGGAAGAGATCAATACAGATGAAACCAATAAAAGATGATGACGGAAATTTAATTACGAAACAAGAGAAACAAAGGAAACAATGGGCCGACCACTTCAAGAAGCTCTTGGATCGACCACCACCACCACCACCTGCACTTCGTACAGAAATACCACCTGCAGCCCAACCGCTGAACTACAAGTGAACATAAATCCTCCAACACAAATGGAAGTCCTGAACGCCATAAAGATACTGAAATGTGGGAAGGAAGCAGGACCAGATAGGATCCCGCCAGAAGCACTGAGAGCAGACGCAGAGACAACAGCGGACATGCTCACACCACACCACTATTGCAGAAGGTGTGGAAGGAAGAGAAGGTACCTGCCGGTTGATTGGAAGAAGGGTTACCTTGTCAAACTCCCGAAGAAGGGAGACCTCAGTGTTTGCAAGAACTGGCGCGGAATCACGCTCTACTCCTGTCCACCCAATGCAAGCAAAATATTAGGCCGCATCATCCTGGAGAGGCTTAAGGATTTGCTGGATTCAAAACTACGACCGAAACAGGCTGGCTGGATTCAAGAAGTACAAATCATGTGCAGACCAAATTGCAACGCTTCGCATCATCATAGAACAGAGCATAGAATGGCAATCAGCTCTCTACCTCAACTTCATCGACTTTGAGAAGGCCTTTGACAGCGTCGACCGACAAGTAATTTGGAAACTGCTTCAATACTACGGAATACCACAAACCTTTATCCGCCTCATTCAACAACTATATGAAGATGCCACATGCCAAGTAATTCACAATGGGAAGCTCAGCTCAGTGATGCTTTTGAAGTGAAGACAGGAGTGAAACAGGGTTGCCTACTATCCCCCATGATATTCCTGATTGTAGTCGACTGGATCATGCAGCAAACAGTGGGGAGCGAGAAGAGGGGCATACGCTGGCTGGACTGCGGAAAAGAACCTACAAGATCTGGATTTCGCCGATGACTTGTGTCTGATGTCACACAAACTTGAAGATCTACAGGGGAAAATTAACAAGTTGATAGAAGAGGCAGGGTATGGGCAGCGCAGACGGGACTTCAAGTGAATATAGAGAAGACAGAAGCGATGAAGATACCGCACCACCACCATCAACAACAACAACAAACTCCAGTCACCATGAACGGGAGAAACTTAAAGGAAGTAACCTCCTTCACCTATCTAGGAAGCACTGTTTCAACTACAAGTGGTACAGACGAGGGTGTCAAAGTCAGAATCGGAAAAGCAAGATAGGCGTTCATTAGCCTGAAACCAGTGTGGAGATCTTCTGCACTCAGCACAAAGCGTGAACAAGATCCGGATTTTCAACACCAACGTCAAGTCAGTGCTTCCATGTGATGGTTGAGAGATTTGGCGCGTCACGAAAGGCATTTCCAATAAACTACAGACATTCATCAACAACTGCTTACGCTCGCTCGCTACTGAAAATCAGATGGCCAGAAAGAATAAGCAACTAGGAGCTCTGGGAACGAACCAACCAAGAACCTATCACGCGACAAATATGCAGAAGGAAGTGTAGATGGATTGGGCATACACTGAGAAGGCCGACTGGGGACATCACGCGTCAGACCAGGCACTCGAGTGGAATCCCCATGGGAAGCGACGAGTTGGACGTCCGAGGGTGACATGGAGGAGATCGTGCGAGGAGGAAATGAGAGCTTGTGGGCTGTCGTGGAACCAGGTTCAAAAGATCTCAGAGAACAGAGGTCACTGGAGACGTGCTACTGAAGCCCTATGTTCCATTAGGAACCCAAGAGACTAATAATAGTCAGAGAGAAAGGCATTTAAGAGGCACTTTCAAATCTTAACCGAGAACAGAGAACGGCGATCGCCTACTACAACTGTGCTCAGATAACCATTTTTTCCAAGCCAACACAAACTTCATAAACAGAAACACTGTCTGACGTGGCGTCTACCGACCTCCAACCCAATGGTGGATACGTATAGATAAAATTGCTGTTGTTGCTGGGGAGGATCGGTGGGAGAATACCGCTCCTTCTGGAGTATGTGTCTACCACGCGCTGGTTAGAGTGGGTGTATGTCTCAACAGACGCAGAAAAACCTTAGCAACCAGACTATTTCCAGAACAGCTCAAGAATGAGAGCACTAAGGCCGCTTTTAGTGAGAAACTGGCTGGATAGTTATCGGAAGGTAACAATATCACTCATCCAGAAGAAGCTTGTTGCTATCTCCAGTCTGCTATAAAGACAGCGATGAAAACCATAAAAAACTTCCAGACAGTGATTCAAAAGAGGCAGTGCATATCAGCAGCTTCTTTCGGTTTATTGGATGAACGCGAACGCATCCCTATGGACTCCGGGTGCAATGAAGAGTAAATGCAACTCGAAAGTAAACTGAGAAAATAAAATTACGCAATGACCACGAAAAGTGTTGGGTAGCGAAGGCTAAATAGATGAAAAAGGCAGCGGCGATAGGTAACAGTAGATAGTTATTTACATTTGTCAAGGAAACTGCCGAAGAAAAGGTTAGTGAGATTGTAGCGGGGAAGGATGGGTCTGCGATTCACTCGCAGGGGAGACGACTAGAATGACGAACGGAACACTGAGGAGCAGTTCAACTGGCTCCACTGGTTCTTTGTATACTACTGTGCAGTGTGCCCACTTGAACCAGTGAGCTTGTGTGAGGTTCTGTGTTGATTTTGTCTGTATATCTGGCCACGTATCTCTGATTCAGACATCTAGTAAAATGTTAATGCCTTTAAAATAAGAATAGAGAAGGGTGAACTAGAACTTCGAAAAACAAGTAAGAAAGCTGTGTGGTTACCTTGATGCGAATCTGAGAGACAAATTCTACTCGAAACTTCATACAGTGAATAATACTATGACACTGTGCGCTACAGCAAATGGACAAGTTATGTTTTGGAAAATGCTGTGCTATGGTCGCTAACGATACACAGATATCGAGTATCAGCCACCAACGTCAGACAAATTCCTAGATGATTCCCAACTCGACTAACTGATGCAGAAGACACGATAGACGTGTAGTAACGTGTATTGAGGTTGAAAGATTAGCGGCCAAAAACAAAGGAAAATACACCTCATATACAGATAGTTCGCTCTTTAAAAAAATCCTACTGATTGGCTGACCCATCATCTGTGTCTAATTGTTGACGTGATAACACAAGACACTTTTTAATTGGTCGCTCTTCAGACTAGGGTTTTCTCTCTATCCCAATATCATAAATATAATCTGGAATTATATTCTACTGTTGGATCCAGTCTGACTCTCAGGTGCGGTTAAAATTGTGGATTCCATCCATGTTATCTACATTTCTACAAGCACAAAGATTTACGTATCACAGAGCAGAAAAGGAGAGAAAAAACTGGACATGGTCATCTGAAGAAATGCATTAACCCAAGTAAAACCAGAAAACTTACCACACCTTCAGCTTTAGTGTTTGGCTTTTCAATTAATTCATTAGCAATTTCCGCCACATCATGAATAAACCTATCGGCATGACCCTTCTTACAGTGCATATCTGTAACGCATAAATGAATAGCTGGCGGAAATTGTAAGTTATTCAAATTCCATCCACATCCATTCGGTTTGTCTGACAAGGCTTTACTTAAACAGTATATGTTGAACACATTTGAACCAAATGCTACAACACAGACATTTGGATTACCAAAGATAAAAATACCAGGAATCTTTTGTAATCTAGGGACAACAAAAGGAAAGAGATTATTTCAAATATTTTAACGCGTTATTTTGTAAACCTATATACAAGTGAATGCATAACAATCAAATTTATTATTTATCTTTGATTTCATCAATGAATGAAAATTCATAACGAAACTTGATTAATGCATTCTCACCAGGAATTGACATATGAATGAATAAAACAATTTCACTTTCCAATGGTTCAACAAAGAGTAGACTAATTCTGAATAATCATCATAAACTGAAATGGTGCGAATACTTATGCACAAATATCTTCCGAAATTTCTGCTGAGTACATTTCACACTATGCTAGGTTTATTAGCAAACGAGAGAGTATCACATGAACGATACAACACTGGCAAAAAGATCATGTGACGAAGTATTAAAATGTGAAACGTAAGAGGCAAACGTATAATTTCAACAGTGTTGTGTTCTTGGAGTTCATTGGTTCAGGTGTGAATTTTTCATTGTCTAACTAGACAACATCAACGACAAATTCACAATGGAGTGACCTATGACCACTTCTCCACAAATGACTTAGCAGCTTGTCTTGATGATTTGGATCGTTTCTGTTATAGTGTTGTCATCATCCACAAGTGTATTTCTATTGACTGTGTTACTGACTTGAGCTGTGACCTCCTTTCTGTTTCTCATCTTTCCTGTTAGTCGATAGATTGGGTCAATGTCAATATGTCTATTGACTGCTGACTGACTTGAGTTCTAGGCTGCGAAAATTCTGCTTACTTCTTTGGTGCAGTATTTTCATATTTCCCCAGTCCTTTTCATATTCGCAAATGTCTACATTAACTGATGTGAGTGAAGATGCATTATGGGGGTTAACTGCCAGTGGATGCTTGCGTAGAGGAACCCAAGGAGGGTGGGGCCTAGCCATCCAATATAACTTTTCACAAGTGCTACGGCTGATTTCGCAGATAACAATGCATTTATTTTCGTTCACCACTGCATCTTTCGGCCTGCATAGGGGTAGCACAGAGTGTAAAAAACTTGTGGTTTTTCTAATTAGGGAGATCCTCAAGGGCTTTAATGATCTAGTTTCAATTTTCGTGGCATTCTTCATTTACCGTCGGAGAACTCAGGGATGACATTTTAGCTGATGGTGAATCCGACAAACATCTTTAGATAAGACTACGTAGACAGCCGTTACTTTGAAAGACAATCATTAGGCAATCTTTTTTGCCACTAGATTGATATACTACCATGTGTTCTCGAATTTTCCAATTTTCTGATTTTGTATTTTTAAATTGATATTGCTGCAGTTGCGGACTTGGGTTGGTTTTCAGTTTCCTTGAGCTTTCAGTTTTTTCGAATCGGCTTTGGTGATCAGAATATCTAAAAACGTGAGTTTGTTGACCACTTTCAATTCGATTGTGAATCCGACACTGTGAAAGTACATTTTACCGATTTGTAAGTATATTCCAATTTGTTTTCCTTAATGAGGATGAACATATAGGGCCCAAAGTTTGGATTCAAAAATAATGGTGAGGCGGCAGCTTCCAATCTTTGGATCACTGCCTCTACAATCACTTCAGATACAGGCGATCCCACTGTTTTTCTACATATTTGTAGTTTGTGATTGAAATGGACGTAAATTATAGGACACAAACCAATCAATCAAGAGGATAAAAAACAACGAATATCGTTTTAGTTTTAGTCGATGAAGATCACACAATAGCTAGAATCATTGGAGCGAACAAACCTACAAAATCTCTTCACCCCATGTTAAGCAAATGGAAAAATCCAATAGTAAAGAAGGACAAGTCCAATGTTATCTACAAAGCCAACTGCACTAGTAGCTATCTAATCGGCTAGGGTCCTCTATTTATCACGAACCGATGGAAATTCCAAGTAATTTGGCTAGAAATCAGTCACAAAGGTATGCGGGGGTATTCTTTTCAGTGACCTTCCTTTGTTTCCCCCATTCTCATACACTCTTTCTCACTTAAACATCATTCTTTTCGACTCACTTGTTTGTGTGTTGGAGTGTTCGTTGCTATGGCGTGTGCAGTTCTGTGCAAGGTTTTACGTTTATTTGATCTTTCGTTTGTTTGTATGTTTTAAGTAATACAACACTGTAAACTGTCCATCCAGTAAATAGACTTTATAGATATAAATAATTTTTAGAAAAATAATAGAGATGATGGTGAACATATTACTAGTCAAATCCACTTACTCATTTGCAATATATCGTGTTGTACTGATGATACGTTTTGTAGACTCACAATAACCATTTTCACCATGATACATCATCGAAGCCCAACACGTTGCTATCAGTGCGCCAGATCGACTACCTGAAATATGCACAAAACAAATGAAAGTGTTAATCGTTCTTCATCTAAATGGTTGAAAAAAACAAGAGAAAATTCCTTACCTCTTCAAAACAATTCAACGACAATTACAATAACCGATTTGAATAATAACATTTTATGCGTATCATCTTCGAGGCAAGAGTTTTTAGGTTTCAGCTTGATTCACTCGACTGCATGCTCTGAATATTTTGTTAATCAGTTTATTTACTTGAGATTAAAGTATGCATAACTGTGCACTACATTCCATCAACAGATTCGCTCAACTGATTGGTGTAAATGTTGCTGAGAATTTGATTGGCTCATGTGCTGACAATTCATCGAATGTAACTGAAAACACAGGTCAGTTGTTAAATCTGACTGCTCTTAGTAAAGGGTAATAAAATTTTGACGACCATAGAAAACTCTATCAGTAGCCTATAACCATTTATCATACCGTCGATTTAACAAAGGTTTTGTTTTTATCTATTCGATTATAGATAAAAGGAATGCGAAGACTGATACAGGATTTCCAGCATCTTAGGACTGTAGTCAGTCAGCAGTCAATAGACATATTGACATTGACCCAATCTATCGACTAACAGGAAAGATGAGAAACAGAAAGGAGGTCACAGCTCAAGTCAGTAACACAGTCAATAGAAATACACTTGTGGATGATGACAACACTATAACAGAAACGATCCAAATCATCAAGACAAGCTGCTAAGTCATTTGTGGAGAAGTGGTCATAGGTCACTCCATTGTGAATTTGTCGTTGATGTTGTCTAGTAAGACGATGAAAACCCTACACTTACTTAGACCATTAAGCTCTGAGAACTCAGCACCTAGACATTATCCAGTTAAACATGAGAATTAATTGTTTTTAAACATGCAATTGGAAATTAGATTCGCGTATGACTAACGCTAAAGAAAGTCGAGGTTACTGCTGCCAACATTTTATATGTGTGGGGGCATATGCATAAGGAGGAATACTTCACGTATGCATTTGAAGGTGATAGTATTCGAATGGTGACAGAAACAAGTGGATTGGCAAGCATCGATAAGCACAGGTGACAGACAACCATTTTCCTACAAAACATTAAAAAAAGGGTCACAAGAATGATATTCAGATAAATCTTCAGAATGTTTATAGAAACTGTGATCAGTACATAACTAGAACTGCTAGAGTCTTACGCTAATTTAAGTTCCGCCTTTGTTATTTGTTGTCTTCTTGCTAAACTCACTTTAGTAATGTTTACCAAATCCTATGATCAAGATTGATTCTTAATATGATTTATCTTTATTTTATTTTACTAAGCTTACACTTTAAAGTGTTATGTTCTTTTTGTCTAACTCCCTTCTGTTTCTACTTCCGATATAAAACGCTTCCATATGTAAATGCGTAATTAGCTTGTGGAGCAAGTATAAGATGCATATTTTTTAATACAAACTTCGTCTTGTGATTACGCTATCCAAATGCATGGAAGTATTGACTGCTTTAAATTTAATTCTGATAAGTTCTCTTGAAGTTTATATTTGTTCAATGAGATATACACCCTAGGTTGTAGTTGGGCACACTATTTTTTCTGGTGATTTTTTGTGAATGAACCCTGTTGTGGACCACTTTTCATATATTTATATTACTCTATCACTCAAAAGAGATATGGTTTGTCATATCAACCGAAAAGTGTGAATCTCAAACAAGTGTCATTGATCGTATCATTTTATTTATTGCATAAATTATTCCACTCATGACTTAATTGCTAACCCTATTGTATAGGTCCGTTTAAGAGCTTTCAATTGATCGCTTATTCATTTACGATTTATAATTCGTAAATAATTGCATTATTGTGTATTATCTCATATTTTGTGCTTGAAATTAGTTGTTTCGTTTTGATAAATTATAGTGCATTGTGCCCAGGTAATTTGGTTATATATATAAATCAGGTCACCTAATATATACGGACAATAAACACCAGACTTAGTGTTCTGCTGCAAGCAATTGGGAGGACCAAGTTCCTTAACTTGTCATGTGGGTGGATTGAATATACGAGACTGGGAAAATGCATATGTGAGACGAATCACATCGGGAGTCAGCCTTAAGACTGAATATGCAGAATCACGAGGTTAAGACGAACCAAAGTAATAACACGGTCAATATAGTCAAGTAAAGAAAAGATAATGCCATAAAAAGGATTTATTGTTTTGCTGAATATTTACCTTAACAGCTGGAGCATGTAGAAAAGAAACTTCTACGAAGTTCAGTAATCAAACATACATTGACCTACGGACATGATAATCGCGCTGTCAATTTTGTTATGCCAATCAGCAGACTGTAGTACAAGGTAATGCTCCCATGTACAGAAGTCTGAACGATTTCAGTTGTCAAATTCAACTTTCCAGAGCCAGAAGGAAATGATAGTTAGCTTAGATTTGCCGTGGTATACTTTACAACAGGTTGTAGCCACATCTATTCATGCTCATATATGTATTTACTAAATTATTACTCTTATTAAATCCTATTTCTTATTCTTGGTCAGCTTACTTTGCTTAAGGTATAAATGATCCGTAATCATCAACACCGTTATTATTAATATCATGCATCAAGTACTTGTGTAATTGCTTAGGTTTGTACTACTATAGAGCCTATATATCGATTACTGCCTGTTGTCTTAAAAGTTCCTATCATGTAAATAAGACACATAAGCGAACAATACTGCTTTTAATACGATTCTTAATTAGGCTTTACTCTAATGTAAGTAGCTAAATATGTATAAAAATTAAACCAAGTAGCTCTGTCGGTTAATGTGACACATGTTTTAAAATAAAGATGGTGATAATAATACAAATAATAACACTTACCAAAGCAATTGTAATATAGATGATAAGAGTCAAGGAAACAGAATGAAAATGTAGACATTCCGACAATTACAGTAGGTAAAAAGCTTGTAAAGTTGAGAGTCTTTAACTGTCCGCCGTTCTTAGAAATAGTCCTGAGTCATAAGAAAGTTCATAAACTGTTTCGAAAACCAGCTGACGTTGAAACCCAGTTTGTATGCGTTTGCAAAAAATGAGCGTATATCACGTTGCCATACAGAGGGGAACCTTACAGCGCAATATTAAAACGAAGGCTAAGGTCTGCCATTAGCAAACCATACTTTGCAGGTAGGCTTATCGGAGTTCAGACGATCAAGCACATATTGCAACACAAGTATCAGCAGTGCATAAACGATTGCGTCACATCCCACTGCGAATATCAATTTACCTGTGCGTGTGGAGACACACGCATAGGGAGAACTAATAAAGATATACATTTGAGGGTGGCGGAGCGTGTGCCAAAATGGTTTCAAAAGCAGCTAGATTCACAAACATCGACAAGACCAGGTGGCAGACAATCATCCTCCTCGCAAGAATGATATTAAGACAGCCTTTACAATGTTGTATAAAAACTGTCAGGGGCATACACTAAGGTTTATTGAAACGCTAACCATACACAAATCTAAACCCTCGTTGTTTGTTCAAAAACAGTTTGTCCTTATGCTAAACCTACCCTGGTAATGTCTATCTCATCGTATTACCAAGGTTGTCTTCATATCTTATCATAATCTCTTTAATACCTTTCTTATAATTACTAGATTCCTTTATGCCATATTTGTCCTTTCCCCACTTCCAGTTTTCACATAAAAAGGTCTTAACAAGTATATGTGAATAGATTTTTCGAAAGGTATAGCGCAAATACGTCATGTTAAGCTTTATTTTTTTAAGCGTCGATCACCTGTTGTGCTTACAATGAAGCAATTCAGATTTGTTCTATTTGTTCATCATCAGCACTTCGAAAGTTTCTATCACCTTTGAAACTGAGGTACATGAACAGTCTTCTTCGGAGCTGTGAGTACTTGCTCCGTATTGTTTTCAGTTTTTCTCAATAAATCTAGATGGACAACCATTTCACATGAGAATTTTTCGTAGTTTATCCAATTCGCCGTCGATAGTATCACTCATACAGATTCTTCTTAGTCTTGACGACTTCGAATCATGTAGATAATTCAAGATTTCCACCATCTTATGAATGAGTAGGTGATTAACTTTACAATAGCACTGTTAGTTAGTTCAAAGAGGATTTCGCCCAAATGGTTGAGTTTTACAAACACAATCAACAGCGCGTTAAGCTGTCAATTAATTAGGTCGATTACCAAATCTTTCTGCAGAAATCTTTGGTATTCTACACTTAACAATTGCTAAACAAGGTTTACTGTGACTGGCGAACTGTTTGGAAATTATAAACGAGGTTTCAGAACTAGTCCGTTAGTTGATATTACTGTAGGACCTGGAATTACCGAGTTACCACTCGACTTGCCGCATACCATATAAATGACAATCTTATATGTGATGTATTTCCTAGGTAGCCTTAAAGAACTTTTCTGACCCAATGAAAATAATGATTACCTTTCTTACGACGGAAGACAGGAGTCATTAAAGTTTTTCCCCCTTGAGATGAAGTTTTGCAGAAAATTATTCGAACTAGCACATTGTTGTGATGCCCTAGTTTTGTATAAAACATTGTTGTCGATTTGAACATTTTTAACGTGTCATTCCCACACCATTTTTTAACGTATGACTAGTGGTCTACTTTCTGCCCTCATTGTAATGTAAATCGCTAACTGGTTAATCTTTACCCTTACTATGCAAATGCCTCAAATTGAGGACAAGGTTATGATTCATATGAGTACTTATTCACGTGTTTTGGGATTGATTATCATATCACATTCTCAGAGTAATAAACTCTCCCATTAGCCAGCTTCGGTTTTCTCTGTATATGTCCCGAAGTTGCAGTCAGTGGCTCTTGCGTACTAAGTTAGCTGTCAGTTGGGCGCGCGTATTATATTCGTTCGAAACATAACACACATGTACCAAATGCAGTCACCAATTAACAACACTTATACACTACTGTTCTTTTAAAAGAAATATTACAGTGTAGCCTTTCATGAACAGTATATGAAGATGTC